ACTCGAAAGCGATTGGATACTTTCAGCCAATAACGTGCTAGCGGTGTCAACTAATAGGTCCGCAAAAACGCCCACGATGATTCTCGTTGTACAACCTGTGCCTATTTGTGCTAGTTTTTGATAGGAATTTCGCTAAAACGACGTCCATCCTCTTTATATATCCCAGTAACATGGGACCCTATGTGTAATACGTTGATTATGTAATGTTATTTTGATTTTAAAATTTTTTTATATCAAATACACGTTCGCAAAAATTAGCGAAATGAACTTCTGTACACGCTGGAAGCCTATTCTTTAACACTGGAAAGAATAGGAGCCAGTGTTGAAGAATAGGAATTTCTCGAAAAACTCAAGGACTTTCTCGAAAAACTCAAAATACACCATGACGTCATCGGAATTTCGACACGTGATTGTCTTTTCTAGTATGAAGAATTTTCCCATTTACCCAAATATGGGGGTCCCATGACGTCACGACCACACGTGATTTTTGTCCTATCTTTTAACACTGGGCCCTATTCTTTAGCACTAGAAGCCTATTCTTTAACACTCGAAGCCTATTCATCAACACTGGGGACGTCATCGCGTTACACCGATGGGAAAGCGGTGCACGATGACGTCACCCTTTCCTAACCTCAGTACCGGTTCACTGACGCGGCTGGCGTTTACAACAACCGCAATGCATTAAGAATAGAAAAAGTGGTGTAACAATAACACTCCACTTAGTTGACGCAAACTCAACAATTTTTTGCGTCCGGGCTCGAACGCGAACGTTCGGAAACATATCTCGACGTCATCGTGTTACACCAATGGGAAAGTGGTGCACGATGACGCAACCATTTCCCAGCAGCACCTAGCGCTATATAAGCATAAAAACATAGTTAGCTTAAATATCCTACGAAAAAATATAATATAATCCACAAACTATCCTACGAAAAACACAAGATCCTAGGCTCATTAATATTCATGAGCATTTTGAAATGGCGTTTATAAAGCGTGTGGGGGTGATCGTCAAATGTTAAATGCGTTGTTTTGTAGTAGTTTAATATCTCTTCACGTAGCATCCGTGAAAAATTTGTTTTATGTTATTCTTAATCCAAAATTTTATGATATTTTTCATGGCAGAATGTACTGGGGAATATAAGCAAGGAAAAGTAGCTACTCTGCTCAGCCAACGAGCGACGGCTGACACAGGCACGGGAGGACATGTGCTGGGACGTGAGATGAAGACATATGAGCAGACTCAAGAGGGCGATGTAACTCGAGCGGATCAACACCAAATCTGGTGACGTCATCGTTGTTAACTCGAGAGGGCGTTATTACTCGAGCGGATGCAATAAAAGCCGTAAACACGTGTCTGTGTCTTTTCTTTTTCACCACTTACAACATAATATACATTACAGACGATCTGTGGTACGATGAAGTTTTCTGTGCAACTCGAGCGAATGTATTAAAAGCCGTAAACACGTGTCTTTGTCTTATTTTGTCACCAATTACAACATAATACACATTACAAGCAATTGGGGAACGATGACGTCTACTGTTCAACTGGAGCGGATGCAATAAAAGCCGTAAACACGTGTCTGTTTCTTTTCTTTTTAACCAATTTTACTCATTACAGACGACCTGTGGTACGATCACGTCTTCTGTTCAGCTGGAGCGGTTGTAATAAAAGCCTTAAACTCGTGTCTGTGTCTTTTTTTTGTCATCACTTACAACATAATACTCATTACAAGCAATTGGGGTACGATGACGTCTTCTGTTTAACTCGAGCGGATGCAATAAAAGCCGTAAACACGTGTCTGTGTCTTTTCTTTTTCACCACTTACAACATAATACTACATTACAGACGATCTGTGGTACGATGACGTCTTCTGTGCAACTAGAGCGAAACTGGAGCGGATGTAATAAAAGCCTTAAACTCGTGTCTGTGTTTTTTCTTTGTCATCACTTACAACATTATACACATTACAAGCAATTGGGGAACGATGACGTCTTCTGTTCAACACGAGCGGGTGTAATAAAAGCCGTAAATACGTGTCTGTGTCTTTTCTTTGTCATCACTTACAACATAATACACATTACAGGCAATATGGGGTACTTGAACCAACACAGCACCCATGACGTTATCGGTGCCGATATAAGAGCGAATGCCATTGTCGGTGTATGCATTTATTTTTTCTTAACCGAATATTGCCCCAACAGGTACTCTGTCGAGCTGATGCACGATGTCGTCATGAAATATGTATCGTCTTACACATGACGTCATCTGTGTGCAGGAGACTCCTACATAAGCGCAGACGAGGATCCACCATCGTCATTCACGTTTCGAGAGGAGCAATCGTTTACCAATTCGCGATACCCCGTCCCAGTACATCCCCGAGTCGCAGTGCCGGTAAGTTTTCGATCATCCCTCGTCCTTAGCTTCGTTCGTTCCCGAACGCGCAGCTTCGATGCCGACGGGGTGACGGGTTACTGCCGATGGTAAGACAGGTACTGCTATTCCGTTGAATACTTCCTGCGGTCGGATCTGAACTAGCTCGGTTTCCTCTCGGGGGAACCGGCCTAGTGCCTCCTTCTGGAGGCACCGGGAAGTGCGACTCCGGTTCGCCGGGTAGCCAGGGCAAACGTCACCTCGGCGTTGTGGTCTGTAGTTGGGAGCCGGGCGAGGGGGGAGCACCGATACAGCATTCGGTGCCTCTCGACTTGGGAAGGTCTCGCCGGACGATGTCT